TGCCAAGTTAGGTCATGTATGTTTCTTGCAGAGCCAATGAACTGAGTAGATTCTTGGTTCATAAGGTCAAAGGTCATGGGCTCATTATGTATGCAAAAATAGCTTGTAATCACAATATTCTGAGAACCTGTTAATGGATTACAATTGAACTTGAATTCAAAAAATTTCTTCTGTTTTGGTTTGTAAAATTGCTCTATGACGGAGGCATCATTTTTGACTGCGCGCAGTCGAAGTTCCATCTAGTTTAATATTACTGTAATATTTTGAATTGAAAACTTACAAGCTTATTCCGCTGCCAGACATGGCCGGATCAGAAAATGTACAAGTAACGGATGGTACTTTTGTTTAATCCGTCATGCGGCTGTCACACTTGAGGAACGGATGTCGTTTTTTGGCATCGGTTGATATCCGTTAAAATGGTTTCATGTCCTTTTTGTCTCGCCTGCGTAGCAGGAGCCAGGCATAGGCGTCACTTTTTACACCGGCGGTGTCGGCGTCAACAATTATGTTGTACACCCAATAACTTTCTATATCTTCGAGCTAGGATCACCAAATTCTTACCAGTGGTACATTTCTTGAAGACTCAGGTCAAGTTCGAATATGGGTCATGGTCGACAAAGTTCAAAGGTCAAAAGGTCAATGAACTTAATATACAAAGCTGTACTTATGCTGTACACACAATAACTCTCCACAGCTTTGAAGTAGAATCGTGAAATTCATACCAGTGGTACATCTCTTGAAGACTCAGATCAAGTTTGAATATGGGCGATATCCGACAAAGGTGAAAGGTCAAAAGTTGTTGTTGTTGTTTTCCAGTTTTTACGGCACTGTCAAAAAGTCTATGAACTTTTTATTAAAAGCATAGTACACACAATAACTTTCCATAGTTTTGATCAAGGATTGCCAAATTCACACCAGTGGTACATCTCTTGTAGACTCGGGTCAAGTTCGAATATGGGTCACTCGTGTTCAACAAAGTTCAAAGGTTAAAAGGTCATTGAACTTAACATACAAAGCTGTATACACACAATAACTTTCCACAGCTTTGAAGTAGGATCGCCAAATTCATACCAGTGGTACATCTCCTGTCTGGTAAAAACTTATACGATTCAGAGAACAAGTGTCATGTATAAACTTATACAATTTAGAGAAGAAGTGCCATGTATAAACTTATACGCTTTAGAGAACAAGTGTCATGTATAAACTTATACGCTTTAGAGAAGAAGTGCCTTGTATAAACTTATACGCTTTAGAGAACAAGTGTCATGTATAAACTTATACGATTCAGATAACAAGTGTCATGTATAAATTTATACGATTCAGAGAATAAGTGTCATGAATAAACTTATACGCTTTAGAGAACAAGTGTCTCGTATAAATCTATACGATTCAGAGAACAAGTGTCATGTATAAATTTATACGCTTTAGAGAACAAGTGACATGTATAAATTTATACGATTCAGAGAACAAGTGTCATGTATAAATTTATACGCTTTAGAGAACAAGTGTCATGTATAAACTTATACGATTCAGAGAACAAGTGTCTGGTATAAACTTATACACTTTCGAGAAGAAGTGCCATGTATAAACTTATACGCTTTAGAGAACAAGTGTCATGTATAAATTTATACGATTCAGAGAACAAGTGTCATGTATAAATTTATACGCTTTAGAGAACAAGTGTCATGTATAAATTTATACGATTCAGAGAACAAGTGTCATGTATAAATTTATACGCTTTAGAGAACAAGTGTCATGTATAAATTTATACGCTTTAGAGAACAAGTGTCATGTATAAACTTATACGCTTTAGAGAACAAGTGTCATGTATAAATTTATACGATTCAGAGAACAAGTGTCATGTATAAACTTATACGCTTTAGAGAACAAGTGTCATGTATAAACTTATACGATTCAGATAACAAGTGCCATGTATAAACTTACATTAATTCATTGAATTAATCAATATATATGTATTTGAATTTTGATACAGTATACATGTACATGTAACATATATTGATGGACAAATAAAGGATACCAATGAATATTCATTGGTTTTATTTAATTGGAATCAGTTGTGTAATGCAGTTCAATTTAATGCTCTGAAAACAGTGACTAAGTTAGAGTTTGCAGAGAGTGTTGACATGTGTTAATGAAAAGAAGCTTGATTCATTATTTTTGTAAACCTTTCTTTCCACCTGATATTAACAATTACACATTTTTTGCAAGTTATCGTTAGCTTTTTGATAAACATAAGGCATCAATTATATTGGAAAAATAAAGAAAATATGTGAAATTGGCAGTCCATAATATGCTTTTTTTGTCCAGATTGGAATAAATTATTGTTACATACGTATAACAAATATACAAGACACTCTTTGAAAATAAAAGAATAACACTTTGATAACCTTAATAATTATCGACATGTTTCAGATTCAGATTTTATTGTACTGTTCATATACATGAAAAGTACCCATTCTGTCATAATATGTAATCATAATATGTAACCAAATCTTGTCAAAAACGCATATTCTTTACTATGATTGTTAAAGACATTGCCAAGGTTGGATACGAGCAACTTTTGAGACTTGAAAGCATTTAAAAGAAATAAAGGACAGTTGCATTCATGACCCCTCCCAGCATACAATTGAAGAATACTCGAGTAGGATAACTGTACAAAATATGAACAATCATATACACTGATAATCAATGGAAAATAAATTATTAAGCAGAAGTATCATTAACACTCAACGAATAATATCTTACATTATATACCTCACTTAAGAAATCCAGCCATCTGATTGGTCGAATTGCATTCATAAACTTCAACTGTTCCTGTAAAATTCTCGGTAACCATGCATAAAACATTTCAATATTTTTAATAACCATGGTTATTAAAAAAAGTTGGTCAGCCTCCATGGTTACCCCATAGGTTTACATGTTAAAAAATGGTTTGAGCGATGGAGGATGCCGTATGTGTGCGAAGGATTGGTCGGTAATTTCAATACAATTGAATCTCGATCGATCTTACCGACAATTTTATCTTGCATTGTTGACATGAAGACGAAAATAAACTTCCAAAAACAAAAAAACAACATCTGCCGATAGATCTTGATCTAAGTTCGTGCCAATATGCATTGCAAAAGTAAAAGAAGAGTCCGTATATGGAGCTTTTGCGAAGCATTCATCACACGCGAAGCCGGTTTCAATCCATTTTGATGTATATATTGGAGAAAACTGCCAAACATGTTAACGGCGGGCCATAGCCGAGTGGTCTAAGCGTTGGTTTTCGGTACACCTCTTGTTGTACGCAAGGGTTCGAATCCCGTCTTCGACAAAATGATAAATATTTTTAATTTTTCATTTTTTAGTCTATTTTTTTTCGGCATATAAAAGTATTAATGACTGCTTTAATATTCGAGAAATAGTTGTTTTCATACGCTCTCGGGAAGGTTACAATTGGGCTATTCCCCTCGGCAAGCCTCGGGGAATAGCACAATTCTAACCTTCCCTTGAGCGTAATAAAACAACTATTTCTCTCAAAGCAGTCATTAATACTATATTATTAACCGTATTCTGAGCAGGTCAATTTTTAAATGTTATTGCCCTCAAGGTTTGATGGATAAACCAACAAAATTACAATAAATTAGTCCGCTCAGTAAAGTCAATGGGATTTTGTGTGTAATCTGGCGGGTAATATAGGTTATACAGTAAACCAATGCGCAAATATTTTAGCCCGCTCAGAAGAGTCAATGGGATTTGTGTGTAATTTGGCGGGTGATATAGGTTATACAGTAAACCAATGGACAAATATTTTAGCCCGCTCAGAAAAGTCAATGGCAAAATGCGTGTTAAACTAGTGAGCAATAATGTAGATCCAGTTGTAATTTACATCGCGCATCAGCTACTGTAATTTACATCGCGCATCGCGTATAAGAAAATGCGCACTTTGCGCCAACTCCATTGTGACGTAACAATCACACCCTAGGCAAACTGTTTGCAGTGTATCGAAAATCTGTCAAACACTGGATGAACAGTGCTGGTTTGACAATGTTTTTGCAACTTCTAATGTTAGGAAACCCTGTATAGCCTACATAATTTAAGAGTATAAGATAGTAAGAGTTTCTTGTTTGCTCTAGATGTCTGATGTGGTTAATAATAGTAATATTGACTGCCTAATTCAGGGCAATACGACTTGTCATATATCACCCTCACCTTCGGTTCGGGCGATATATGTCGTATTGCCCAGAAGGCAGTCAATATCACTTAAGTATGAGTCAATGAATTCATGAAAACACCTATACCGTTATCTCATTGGCAATACTTGGTAAATATAATGAAAGAAAGATTATCATATGCAAATCGAAAGATTTTATACAAAAGCGAACACAAAAGCAATACTTATACACATGTTAACAACAAAAACAGTAATAATCGGAATACATAAGTGATAAATATACATAGACATTTACATTCTAGACATTGAAAAGTAAAATTACCCATAGCAAGTGTAAAGGGGGAAAGAGGGTGAATAGAGGAATAAGGACAGGCGATCGAGGTGGGGAGAGAAGGGAATGAGTCATCAGAAGGGAAAGGATATAGAGAGGAAGGAAAATAGCTGAGCAAGGTTAAAGAACAGAGATGTAGGGACAGTTGTAAAGAGAAAGAGATAATAAAATGAAACGATAAAGTTATTAAACAAGAAGGTTTTGAATTTCAGCTATCAAATTAGGTATCTTGACATAAAAGTGCAACAAAATATATTTAAAAGAAAGGTGATGTAATATGAAAGAACCTGGAAAGTTAAAAGAAAAAGAAAGTGAAACTGACATAGTAAGTGCAGAGCATAATTCATGGAAAGTGCTTTTTAAAATATAATATATGTAGACAGGATATGTTATGGTTTTCGAAATGGTTGCTATTCGCATATTCCATTCAAATAAAAACTAAACTGCAAAATATACAAATTTACAGAAGATGGCTCTAAAAAAAATAAGACAAAACATTTCACCTGTTAATTAATTAAGCATCAGTTTCCATGATAGATTAGAAAGTCGGTTGTAAGAAATGAGCAAAATTCATATGGGTAATTATTGTACTCATACATGTATATGAAATTATCTTCTTTATTCCATGTGAGCTGTTTAAAGGCCCTCATGGAAATGGGAATGCAGGATTTCAGAGAGCTATTTCTTCTACACTTTGGGGACTTTTACCTTTTCGCATCCAACAAAAACATTGATCGAGTGGGTGTTGAGGATAATTCATGATATATTCTGCCTTCTAAAGAATTATTGCAGAACGAATCCCATCTAGACATAATAATAATAATAATAATAATAATAATAATAATAATAATAATAATACAATATTTATAAAGCGCATAATAAACATAAGTTTCTCTATAAGCTGTACAAGCATAATGATGAGAAATATAATCACATAAAGGAATCAACACAGAGAAATATACAAATCTTATACTACTAAAATGACTAACTTAACATAGTAAATAACATAATAAAGAGATAGCTAACATGGTCAAAACAAAGAATGTAAGTAAGGGGATCATGTCAATTAATACAAATACTTATATTGATACCGCCACAACAACAACATCATCAACAAGACCACAGAAGTAACAACAAAATCAACTACTACTACTATTACTAGTGGTACATTGTGCATTTAGAATATTTTTGCAAAATGCGATAATGTCTCAGTGCTCTATACAATAAACATAACAAATACAGAAACATGTGTTAAAATATCAAGCTTTATGCTACATGATTTACTCTTAATAATTGTCTTACATGGAATTAATAGTTCACAATGACCAGTTGAACTTGTAGAAAAACAGCTTATTAGATATTTAACATTTATACATTCATAGTTATCATTAATAACCTGCGTTGCAAATACATTGCTTTATATGGGCACATATCTTTAGGCAACGTTATTTACAAATTATCAACAGACAAAATTACAAACTCATATATATCATAAAATATTGTTTTACCTTTCCAAATAAAAAATCATAAATCATTACAAACCTTTTACGTAACACAAGCAAGAGGTCATATACACGATTTATTGAATAACACAATGCACTGTTTTATTTGTGAAAGAAAAGTGGTATTCATTTGATCTGTTGAAAGGGTCGATATAAGCCTCCATGACAAAATACATCTCCTTCATTTTCTATCTGTGGATACAAATCCAAAAGGTTTACCCTAAAACTCTTGCGCTTGTGTGAAATCATATAAGGCCTCGTGCTTAAATTATCATCAATTTAAACATATCAATTATAGAATCGTTTCTAAGTTTGCAACCCAAATATTGTGAGTTGTATCTACGTTCATTAATAATCAAAGTGAGTTTATTGCGATTGTCGGCAGGAAAACTCTTACTTTATTCAGAGAGGATTTTCAAGGATGTAAGTGTCAATTTGAGGGAAATCTACCTTATTCTTGTCTTAGATTATCATGCACAAAAGCAATATAGGCCTGCGAGTTAGAGATGTGTGTGTGGGGGAGGGAGGGTACTAATAACTTTTCCTCTGAATATTTGTGTTCGTTTTATAAATTAATTTTAGTTATTGTTCAGATTTGTTGTGGTAATATTCTGTATTTATACATTTGCTTTTATGTACTTTAATTACTGTCATTTCTGTCATATGTTCCTTGTTTTTTTTAAATTGTAGAATTTCAATGTTTACACATTCAAAGCTCTCATTTAGAGCACCCTTTTGGTTCTGAAAAGACCACGCTGTTAATTTTTTTTACAAAGAACGTAATAAATAAATCATGAAAGCTAATGACACAGACATCATTTGAACAATACTCATTGCACACGAGGCAGTGTTAACATTGCATTAATACCTGCGCTCACCGAGCTAGGTGATTGAGTTAGGACCACAACGTCCTTAAATTCGAAGAAAGGTTTGCATCATTCAATTTGCACACACTTTGTGTCACGAAATCCCTGCATCGTGTGCACGGGGCTTCAATGCAATTATAAAACCACACAAATAATTCTGAACGATAACATATAGTATCCATTCAAAATATAGTAATCTCATCAAATCTTGGAAAGATGTTAAGTGATAAGGCAGGCAACATTGTTGCAGTTATTAAGAGTAATGAAGAACTGGTATTTTCAAAAGACCCTTGACTGTAGCATGAATAACTCTCTGTTCTAAGCCTGATCGGTTATTCAGTGTTTGTATTTCATATGTCCATGACATTAATTGAACACTCTAATGGATTCTAATTTTGGTAGGTATCCATAACTAACAACCACATTTTATCAAATTTAAACTCCCTAACGCGACACCCTTAAGAATGATATATAAAATAGCTCACAGCAATCCATCACCTTCTTTACAGGTCTCTTAACTCTGAATATTTATCCATGATTAACTGAGCAGGCTCTTGTTCCATGAGAATGCGTTTTTCTGTCATCAAATAATGTTCAAAGCCCCTATCAGGGATTTGCAAGCCCTCGGAAACTTATCTAAACATTTATCTGCAGCAGCAAGATGATTATCTGAAATGATGGGCAAAATTTAAGATCAAATGACTCTATAATTTTTTGTAAAAATTGAAGCCCTAATTTTGTACATAACAAGCAGCGGTAAATAAAACTAATACAAATTAGAATTGACCGTGATTTTGCTAATAATGAATATTTAGCCATCTTACTTATAGGAACGCTTACAATTATGATATTTACAACATTTTGACCCTTTTACAGGTCTTGAGATTTTTACCGTGGAAATTCCTGACCCCCCCCCTGAAATTCCTTATTTTGGAGAGAATTCAAAATCACAATTTCTTCAATGGAAGAAAAAGAGCCACAAAATCGATGTCAAGAATACACATCCGTGTAATATCTTATAAATAGGCACATGTTTCTTTGGGTGAATAACTCGATTGGGTGACAATTGTATTTGACAAAGTAGAAAAAGGGTCATGAGTTCAAATTGATCGTGATAGTATTTAATGGTGTATTTATGTAGTTGCCACTAATTTAGCCGGTAATTTCGTCTTCGCGAGCAATTGTCGTCTGAGTGAACCGATCTATTAGGATGCCATCTACCTGTTCACTAGTCCGTTTACTGATGTGAGAGAAGAGAGAGAGAGAGAGAGCCGTATCAATGTGTACATCAACAAAAAAGCAGCGCAGCATCAAAATAATAACATAGAACAGTAAACGGAGGACAAAGAAGAGAGCTTGACTATCTTATTGCTTTACGTCAAACAAAACCATCTTTACTAACCTGTTAACTATTACGTCGAAAACGACATAAAACATAATACAAGCAATTCGAATAAATAAATGGAAATAAATAGGCCTATATATAATTTTTTTTTAAGCAGAAAAAAAAAATTCTTCAGTATGATATTTGCTAATCCTGTAACACAGCCTATGCTTTCGAATAGGCACCTTGGAAAATTCATAATTACAAATTTCCATTGAAATATTATTTCACGTACATGACTTTTGTCAAATCTTCGTTGTATTTTTCGAAGATTTATTTATGTGAGTTCATGAGACATGAGTGGTACAGGATGTCAGTTTCTATCTTTTCCGATGAAAATGAAAACAAACAAATAAAGACATAATAATAATAATAATGTTCAATTCTTATATAGCGCATATTACAAAATTGTCTCTATGCGCTTAGATGCGAGAGAGAGAGAGAGAGAGAGAAGAGAGAAAAGACATGAAGAATATTGAGCTTTCACCATTTAGCAATTACAATTATCAAATCAATTACAAAATTCACATGTTTACTATATAAATTTAAATTTAAGACTGGCATGATCGAAACAGATATGTTTTTAAGTCGGATTTAAACTGATGTAGTGAAGAACAACGTTTTAGAGACTCTGGAAGATTGTTCCATAGTTCTGGTATGGCATACTGGAAAGCACGGTGCCCATATGTTTTGGTGGATGTGACTAAAGGTGTGAATGTATGTTTTGAAGATGAACGGAGATTGCGAGTTGGTCGATGACTTGAAATAATATTTTGCAAATACATGGGAGTATCATTATGTTTACATTTATATGCAATTGTTAAGAGTTTAAAGATGATTCTATCTCTTACAGGACATATTTATGTTTGTCTTTTGCATTTTGTTAATGTGAAACAATACATCAACCCTGAAATGCGAAATAACTACATTCTTATAAGATATTTAAGATATTTCTCCCCTGTCTATTTAAACACATGCATGGCCTTACGAGCAGACCTCGCGCCTGAATGAATATCAGAAACGACTGGCACGAGAAGGCGAGCACGCGTGCTAGTCTCCCACTAATCATAACAATATTATATAGACTTCATTTATGTTGCACTCTAGTCGGCCCGTAAATCGTTAAAGTTGTCAAAAAGAGGAAGGTGACTTTATTGAAAAACCTCCCTGAGATTAAGAACAAATTCCTGTGAGCATGCGTACGATACACAAGCACTATTGTCGCAGAGGGTTTAAGAGACATGCAATCATAAATAAAGGTGCAGTTATAAAAGGCTACATGCAAGTCTTGAAGTTAAAATTATAAGGACTTACCCAAGTGGTTTGCCATGCTCTACCTTTACCTCCATGAATTGATATAAATTCCAAACAGCGGTGAAATCATCCATGCGCTTATCTGTCCCGCATCTTATGAACCTAAAAGCATGGGGATAGATGGAACACGGCATTATCGATGTTAAAGGGGGTGTAGCATGACAAATACTGGTTAACGCCGTCTACGACTTCTTTTGGACAACTGCACGTAAAATAGAGAGATAGAGAGGGAGAACAAAATAGGAGAGAAAAGAAGAGAGAAGGTGGGAGGATAATAAATGTCATGTAGGCTGATCGTATAAGCTTAAGCTATGGTCACAAATCAGAGCAGCGACCGACCGATCAGTAGCCTGCTCGGTCGCTGCTGGAATGTAGGCATCGCCCAGCGATTAGGTCGGTGCCCGGGCGGCGACCGCCCAGGCACCGAGCGTATTTTTGGGCGGCGAGTGAAAAGTGAGCAGGCGCCGCCCAAATATTAACTCCGCGCTAAAACTTCAGCGGCGACCGAGCGATGCCCTAAAAACGAGCGGTGCCTGGGCGGCCGCCGCCGGGCAGAATTGGTTAAAAACTCGCCGCTCGGCCGCCGAGCAGGCTACTTTTGGGTAATGTGACCATAGCACTATCATTAGCTGAATGGAATAACATGAACATCGAAGTGACTTTGCCCTTTTTTTGAACGCATTAACACATAAACCGAAGGACAGCATATATGCCACAAAACTTTTTCATCCAATATCGCAATCTTAGAAATAATATTCTCAAGAAAGTGATAAATTAAGCTCGCCACCTGACCGTGAAGCCTCCTATTTATAGGTAAGGCCTATATGGATTTCCGCCCATTTTCGTCACCTCTTGGATCAATTTTTTGAAATGTACGTAGGCCTATAGGACACCATTCTTCCGCCTTTTTCTGTTAAATTCATGGGATAACCAGGGCCTACGGCTTTTTTGCGGGTCTTTTTGACCCATCTATTTATTTGATGGGGTCATGGCGGATCCAGGTGGTGGGGCGGGGGGGGGGGGATGGACATGCCTTGGGACACCGCCCTCTATTCTAGCCGTAAGGGGTACAGGAAGGGGGTGGTTAGGGGTTAACACATTGCAATTTTTTGAAATTTACGTAGGCCTATAGGACACCATTCTTCCGCCCTTTTCTGTTAAATTCATAGGACAACCAGGGCCTATGGCTTTTTTGCGGGTCTTTTTGACCCATCTATTTATTTGATGGGGTCATCCCAGATAACAATACGGCGTTGGGCCAACGTCGGCCACGGTCGGCAGGGTCGCAGTCGGCAAGCCAACGTTGGCTAAACGTTGGACCATCGTCGCCATTTTTTACTGATAAATGGTTGCTATTGGTTGGCTCATTCGACGTTGGGCCAATGTTGGCTGAACGTTGGTCCATTGTCGCCATTTTCACTGATAAATGGTAGCTATTGGTTGGCTATTCGACGTTGGGCCAATGTTGGCTGAACGTTGGTCCATTGTCGCCATTTTCACTGATAAATGGTGGCTATTGCTTGGCTATTCGACGTTGGTCCAATGTTGGCTGAACGTTGGTCCATTGTCGCCATTTTCACTGATAAATGATGGCTATTGGTTGGCTATTCGACGTTGGGCCAATGTTGGCTGAACGTTGGTCTATTGTCGCCATTTTCACTGATAAATGGTGGCTTTGGGTTGGCTATTCGACGTTTGGCCAATGTTGGCTAAATGTTGGTCCATCGTCTCAATTATCACTGATAAATGTTGGCTATTGGTTGGCTATTCGACGTTGGGCAAATGTTGGTTGAACGTTGGTCTATTGTCTCATTTATTACTGATAAATGTTGGCTTTTGGTTGGCTATTCGACGTTGGGCTAACGTTGGCTCATTGTCGCCATTTTCACTAATAAATGGTGGCTATTAGTTGGCTATTCGACGTTGGGCCAATGTTGGCTGAACATTGGTCCATTGTCACTATTTTTACTGATAAATGGTGGCTATTGGTTGGCTATTCGACGTTGGGCTAAAGTTGGCTCAACGTTGGTCCATTGTTGCCATTTTCACTGATAAATGGTGGCTATTGGTTGGCTATTCGACGTTGGGCCAATGTTGGCTGAACGTTGGTCCATTGTCTCAAATATTACTGATAACTGTTGGCGTTTGGTTGGCTATTCGACGTTAGGCCAATGTGGGCTGAAAGTTGGACCATCGTCTCAATTTTAACTTATAAATGTTGGCTATTGGTTGGTTATACGGCGTTGGGCCAATGTTGGCTTCATGTTGGTCCATCGTCTCAAATTTTTTTTTAAATGGTGGCTTTGGGTTGGCTATTCGACGTTGGGCTAACGTCGGCTGAACGTTGGTCCATCGTCTCAATTTTAAATTTTAAATGTTGGCTTTTGGCTGGCCATTCGATGTTGGGCCAATGTTGGCTGAACGTTTGTCCATCGTCTCAATTATTACTGATAAATTGTGGCTGTTAATTGGCTATTCGACGTTTGGCTATTAACGTTGGCTCAATGTTGGTCCATCGTTTCAAATTTTACTGAGAAATGGTGGATATGTTGGCTAATATACGCGACGTTGGGCCAACCTTGGCTTAACGTTGGTCTATATCGTCTCCATCTTTACTGATAAATAGTGCATGTATATATTGGTTGGCTATATGACGTTGGGCCAACGTGGCAAATACGACCTAGTACCGCTACATCCGGGTAAAAAAATTGCATGCGCATGTGCTCATGCCATATCCTGTCCATTTGTCTGGATCAGTTGCCGGGGAGTACCAACACTGCATGGTAAATGAATGATTTTCTTTCTCTTTCAACGTTATTTTTGTGAGCATGTCGCGTGAAACTGATAAATTGTATAGTGTGAGAACTCCCCGTCACAAAGCGAGGGAAATAGCATGAGAAATTGTTAAAGTAATCATTGATAATTCCCTGTCCAAATGAAAGTGAAAGTGCATGAGTACGAGTGTACCGCTCGGCGTACGCTTATAGCATGCACACCCGCTGCGTGCAATTGAAGTGTGAGTGATGGCTATGATGGCTATGATGGGGGCCGAAGTGTCGGCATCAGATGCATTGAGTGTTTGCCGTGATAAATTTTAATATGTTCCTGACTTAGAGTTAGACCTAGGTGATGTATTGATGCATCATGTTGCAGCGTCCGTGACAGTGATGATGTTCACCCCAATATGCAATATCGACCATGAATCAAATGATTGTGAATCTGTTGGTGTTACAAGTGTTGAAGGTGCTGATGCATTGTTGGAAAGACCAATTGAATCAAATAGAGCTGAATGGGAAGACGCATCATTTTTTTATGCATATCTAAATGATATTATAGTCTCTGATACTTACAGATTTAGAAGTAGGTCTATACTATACTCTGTAGTAGCTCAATATATGCTGATGATGATTCAGTTCGAAAAGGAATAAATTACGAGATTGGGCTGTGAATTAAGATATCCCGCTAGTACATGTTTCTAGCCTCCTGAAATCTTACAAGGGAGTGTGCCAATAGTCTGCCAAAATATGCAAGAACTTTGTATCAACACATTTAGTGGATTGTGAGTGTGATGTGAAAGAGGTAGCTGGTGGGAATTACTCTCATTTTGGCATTTGCAATCATTTAAAGTCGCAATTGGCCAAGAACCTCAATTTGATCAAATAGTAAATAGGAAAAAATATTGGGGGCGGGGGTAACACTGATCGATCCCATAATTTTCATTCACAATTTTCATTCACAAATTTGATTATTGCTGCATTTTTATTCTCATTTTCAAATTAGTTTTCATTGTTTATGCACATGTATATTAAATTGCTATAATTTGAACTGAAGGTAAATATTCTAATTATTTATTTTAAAAATTCTGACGTTCTTTATTAATACATTCAATTCTATATAGCTCTTCCAAATCCCAATACTTTTTTCTCCCATAATCCCTACAATTTTGAAATTTAAATATGAAATCCTGCATTTCATATCGTCAACTTTACAACAAATTCCAGATTCCTCTACCCGTTCAGATCCAGCTACCCCTACCTCGATCATCCAGAACAGCATCAACAGCACCAAGGACCCCCTTCGACATCGACCCCATCAACCTCCAGAACACTGTCGACCCCAACGACCCCATTGACCTTAACATTCAGAAATATGGGTATGTCATTTGGCATTTTATTCATTTTGTATTTAGTTATACATGTAGACAGGATAGCACTTCTTAGTATTCGTTATAGTTGTGCCCTGCACACAAAGTACAAATTAATGTACTGGATTAATGTACGTTTGTGTAGGACATAGCTGCTAACGGATGCTAGTATCTTTTTCCTGATTATATTGAGAAACTGCATTGTGATCACTTACAAAACTATTCAACAACAACAAATCTTGAAATACTGCTTATAGCAGTATTTTTTGGGAAACAATTCTGAATGCAGGGTGCCACAAAAAACAAAACACAGTCAATTGATTTGTTTCTTGTATAAGCAACTAACGATATAGCTTTGTGTTTTTGTTTCTACTTTGAAGCCCCTCGAGCTCTCTCAAGTATTGGGAGCTTACATAAATACAAAAAAAAGTATTGGGAGCTTCACATTTCACTTCAATGTTATAATGATGTGAAAGAAAATGCCACTCTTCTTCAAAAATTTGTCCTAAAAATTAGAAAGAATACAAACTTACTAAGGGTTTTGTGTTGTATGCAGAAAACGCAAATTTTGTATTCTTTCATCCATATTCTACTTCAAACACATTTGTTAGGGCAATATTCTATTTGCAGAAGTGTCCGGGTGTTAATGACATCCTCTTTTTACATCATACCATTTATTAAAGTGAGATTGTGCCATCTATTCTTTTGCTAATTTTGGGATCCAACACTTAAGAGGGGCTTTAAACTGTTATCAATCAAGCATCTCAACACTGAGCAAACAGATACTATAAATTGGTTCTTTCTATTGAAGAATATTACTGCCATTTTACCTCAAATGTATATTTCCTTTGTTAAGAAGAGTGTTTGATGCTATTCTAATTAAACAAGACAAAAATAAAAGAAATCCATTCCTTTCTAATTTCCATACGTCTGGGTCATTCGCTCTAAAGTTTGAACGAAGTTATTTTCATGACAAAGTACTTCTATCCATGAAATTTCATCAAAACTAGGGAGGATGTGCCACTCAGGACTACTTCCCTTGAATGCCGTACTATTTGATTAATATCCGTACTATTTCAAGGTGATGTTTCCATGATCTGCTTTTAAATCTTGTTTGGTTTCTTTCTTCTTCTTTTTTTTTGCCGCAGATGTCGAAGTTGTACCACCACAAGCTAGACAAGATTTTGATTCCGACTAACCCGTTCTTTAAAGGTCCATTGCCTTAGGACATTAAAACTTTTATGTCTTGTATCAAGACCCTTTTAAAGCAACATAATAAAAATTGTTTCATAAATAAATGCCTCCTTTTATTTTTTACAATTTTTTGAAAACCTCTCCAAGTTGCTCGTCTAATGGAGGACCCCGCCCCTTACAATTCTCAGAGTTCCTCGGAATGACTGACCAAAGGATTAGTGATGTTATATCAAGAACGATCTCCGCTTAGGCAAGCTACGGTGCTTGCTAGCCAGCTCTGCAGGCATTATGTTTTGTACACAAACATAAACAATAACTTTTGTTATTAAATAGTGTGCTATGCATCTTTACTTGTTATTTATTGTGGTGAAATTTCACTGATGGCCCAATTTTAAAAAGAGAGCTATACCATGAGTCGAAGAAGGTCGTAATTGATTTGAATGCCTGTATAACGTGTCAACTAAATGCATGCTATAAAGAATTTCAAAGGTAAGAAAAAAATGTTTCATATATCTAAGTGACTGAATGTTTTTCGTACTACCTTCTTCTCAATTTAAAGAAATATTGAAAGTGGTATATCAGAGTGAAGAAACTTGTGTTTTTCCCTTTACAAGCTCTGCTCTTTCCTACTTCACTTTCAAATTTCCTCTCTTGTTATATAAACATTTAGCGATTGCTTTACTTCACACATTCAAGCAATGTATACTATCCCTCCTAAAAAAAAAACATTTTGTAGATGTGTTAACAATAGATATGGCGACGAAATGTATCAGCATCTCTGAAATGCCTAAGCATAAAAAATGTTGGCAATTTCTCTGAATTTCATTTTTTATTTTTTTTGGAACATTGTTTACATTAATTGCCTAGTTCTTGGTATGCAAATGGTGGACACTTTATTAATTTCTTTATATTTTTGTGCTGTACATATGTAGAGGAATCTTGTCATAAGCAATCGTGTTCGTCTGCCAGAAAGTTTGTTTTGTTTTACTCGGGAAGTTGTGAGGATTGTTTATTATATTCGTACAATGAATTTCAGTATGTTATGTTGTGTTACGTGTAAGCGACAATTCATTTTATAACAGCTCCTATCGTCCTAGCATTCATTGATAGGCCTATATTGTGACACATTGAGATACCTTGAACTTGAAACTATGTTTACATCTTTTTCGAATTCAAACGAAAATACAAAAGAAAGATGTACAATAATTGTATTCACATTTACAACAGTTTGTTTATTACACATAAAATAAAGTATGTTTTATCACAAAATCAGTTTATTTTCCTTGTTCTTTTGTTTTGGAGGGAGGGGGATGATTGTATTCAGAGCAAATTCTAAGAAGCAAGATGGTGAACTTTTCATTAAAATGGGACAAATAAGTTGTTATCAAGTTTTGATAGTGATTAAAATGTACAAGATAATAGACATTACGAAATTAAAATAACATGTCCCTCTTGCTTCAATATTGTTATTATACATATCTTCCAGAGGGATCTAAGTCGAGTTCTATAATGAACTTTTCTCAAATTCAGTCTAATTTTGATGAAATTGTTACTATCTTCATTTTGTGGATTTTGCTCTGTTTATTTATTTAATCCAATCTTAAACTACTTGGCTTTTCCTTGTCACGTTGTGATGCATGTGTTTGAATGATTGTACATGTCCGATGTAGTATGATCTTGACGATGTTCTTATATGAACGGACGACTGATGTTGGTGTGAATATGTTTTTGAGTTGGTGTTGGTAATGTCAGAAGAATGTTGGCATGAACTGGAAAGGGGAGGTACAACGTCGGCACATGGTGGGATACGGGTTGGCATAACGTTGCTTCTACGTCGGCAAATGGTGGAGAAGAGGTTGGCATATCGTTGGTCTAGCATTGGCACATGGTGGAGGAGGGGTCGGCACTTGGTGGGAAAAGGGTTGGCATTATGTTAGGACAACGTCGGGGAGACGTCGGCACATAGTGTAAAAGGGGTTGGCATTACGTTGGTCCTACGTCAGGGAGACGTCGGCACATGGTGGAAAAGGGGTTGGCATTACGTTTGTCCTATGTCGGCATATGGTGGGATAGGGGTTGACATGACGTTGGTCATACGTCGGGGGGACGTTGGCCCGATGTTGGCTTAATGTCATTTCGTCGCTGTCGAGCCAACGTTGGCCCGCCGGTAAGAAAGCCGTTGGCCCAACATCACATTGACGACGATGGCGCAACGTAACAGCCCACGACGTCGGCACATGGTGGGATAGGGGTTGGCATAACGTTGGTCCAATGTCGGAACTACGTCGGAACATGGTGGGATAGGGGTTGGAATAACGTTGGCCCTACGTCGTGGAGACGTCGGCACATGGTTGAAAAGGGGTTGGTATAACGTTGGGCCAATGTCGAGGAGACGTCGGCACATGGTGGGATAAGGGTTGGCATAACGTTTATCCAATGTTGGAACAACGTCGGCACATGGTGGGATAGGGGTTGGCATAAAGTTGGTCGTACGTCGGCACTTGGTTAAAAAAGGGTTGGGACGACGTTGGTCCAATGTCGGAAAGACATCGGCATACGGTGGAAAAGAGGTTGGCATAACGTTGGTTCAATGCCGGGAGGACATCGGCACATATGGTCGGATAGGGGTCGGCATAACGTTGGCCCGATGTTGGCTTAATGTCATTTTGTCGCTTTCGGGCCAACGTTGGCCCACCGGCAAGAAAGCCGTGGGCCCAACATCATGTTGGCGACGTTGGACCAACGTAACAGCTTACGTTGGCCCCACGTTGGCGTAACGTCGTATTGTTATCTGGGATGGCGGATCCAGGTGGTGGGGGGGGGGGGGGGGGGGGGGGGGAGGGGAAGTCAGCCCAAAACCAAAAAAAATCTGCTGAATAAAAAGAAAATTGTGGCTTGTCAAAAAGATTCCGAATATTGGGCCCCTTCCCATCACAAATCATGCACATTTTTTTTTCTTCTAAGGAACGCAATATTGAATCCATAATTTCTCAAATTATACTGACCATTATTTAAATCGATAATAAGGAAAGGGAAAGGAAAATTTTAAACTACGAATGGGTACAAAAAGAAAAACATTATCGACCAAGAATTCCAGAGATTGCGATCGCTAAAGGGGCTTTCACACCAGGCCTTGCGTAGAGTTGCGTCGTGTTGCGTACCGACTACGCCGAGCTTATGCAACCATACGCTGAAGGTACGCAACCCTACACTGGCCTACGTAACTGTACGCTGAGGGACGCAAATGGGTACGCGAGATGGACGCAGAAAAATAACATGTTCATTTTTTTTCGCGTACCTTCGGCGTAGACACTATACGCAGGAAGTACGCAGAAAGTACGCAAGTCTACGCAACATTACGTTACTGTACGCCATCCCTAGCAACACTACGCTACTGTACGCCATGCCTACGCAATAGTACGCTACCCTATGCCAGTCCGACCACAGCACACAAGACGATGCTGATGGTGAATGTTTATATGGGGTTATATGAACTGTGAATCATAAGAACTTTTAAATCAGTGTTTCAGGGTGATGAAAGACTGTCATTGTCGCTGTGATTTTTAATTCATGATAACATGTATCCTGTGATTATGTCCATGTGTAATAACATGTGAAAGTCTTGTTAAATTACACACCTTAGTTTTCAGAGTGTCAGCAGAAGTTTATTGTCAGTTTTCAGGCTGTTTTTATCATTATGGTAATCATTATTTCGTGATTCGGTTAAAGTAATGTAATTTGTGTTAGTTATTTTCATTTAAACTTTACGGTTTAAATTTCACAGTGTTAGCAGGAGTTTAAATGTCAGAATTATAACTTCATGATTAAGTTATACGGTAGTTATGTTCATGTCTAATAACGTCTTTCAAATGTCACAATTTTCAAATTGATTTAATTAAAAGATTCATTACCTTATAACAAAGTTATAGTTGTGTAACAACATGCACAAGTTGGCTCCATCCGTTTTCATCCGCTCCAGAAATGGACAAAATTTGCGAAAATTTGCGAAAACAGAACGGAAAATAACTGACGTGGGTAGTATGTAGGGGGGATGTCAAACGGATGTTCATCGGAAGCCTAGCGGATGAAAGCGGATGGATAGCGGATGAAGCGGATGCATCACGTACGCCTAACGGAAACAAAGGGGATGCCGAGCGGATGTATATCGGATGCAAACCGTTCACTGCGCATGCGGGGGGTGGGGGGGGGTATGAATTGCGTCCGTTCCGTGGATATAAAGGGATGCAGCACGCACGCAGTCAGCATAAAGCGGAAAGACGTGCTGGCGGCTACATCGATACATCTCTACTACGTCTCATTATTGAAGAAGGCTACATTGCTACATCTATACTACCTCTTGTATCAACACTATGGTGCGTCAGTCAGGCAAGAAAGGAAGTACGTGCCTGCTCGTTCAAGCCCTGGCAAGGTGAAGAAGGCCAGAACCAGCACCCCACCCCCTGACACTGACTCTGATGGTGAAGCTGCTGCTGCTGTGGTGGACCAGCCCCAAGGCCCTCAAGCCCCTCAAAGCCCTGCTGCTGAAGGCCCTGATGTTCAAGCCCCTGAAGGCCCTGATGTTTAAGCCCATGAAGGCCCTGCTGAAGCTCCTGAAGGCCCTGAACAAGCTCCAGTCAGAGGGAGGAAGAGGCAAGGGAAGACGAAGGGAGAGAGGAAACAGTACACCGTTTCCGAGGAGCATGAGGACGATGTGCTGGAATGGCTGAGGGAGAACGAGTACCTCTGGAGAAAGGGCCACAGACTGTATCGGGACACCAAGAAGAAGCAGGCAGCTTTGAGAGACAAGGCAGAGAGCCTGGGGTACACTGCAGAAGTACTCCTTGGATGGTGGAAGCACATGCACTCCTAGTATGGGAAGCTACACCTCAAGAAATCCGGGCAGGCCGCCGTCAAGCTCACTGACCGGGAGAAGTAAGTCATGGCCAAGTGCAGTTTCATGGAGGGTGAGATCCGCCACCGAGGAGCAGCCCCTCTGAGACCCCTCTCCCTCAGACAGCCCACAGACAGCCAGGTATCTTCAAGCCAGGAGCCCTCGACAGCTGCATTCCCCATGGTGCCGAACTTGGAGGATCCCGTGGAGGATGACGCCCTGCTGTCACAAATGGATGAACAAGCGGCAGCCACCAGAGGCCAACCAACCCCCACCTCCACCACCAGATCCAGAGGACGCAGGCAGAGAGGCAGACTGGAGGGCCAGGACGACAGTGTGCTGTTGGAGATCAGGGACACAATGAAGACCAGCACAGAAATTCTCTCTCAGCTGGTCGACTTGGACAGAGCATCCTCGGCCCGGAAGCCCTTCATCACCTTCGTGTGCCAGACCCTGAGGGACCTGCCCGAGGCCGAGTACCAGGTGTTGAAGCAGAAGATCACAGCACTTATCCACAACCCTCAAGGCCCAGCTGAAGCTCGTACTATCCAGTCAAGGTCTGCTCCTTCACCCCAGCACACTCATCCCAACCCTTCCTCCACCCCAGAGCCAAGGCCGTCAACGGACAATCTCTCAGCAGTATTGGGCCTGACATCTCTAGTTCTTGATGAAGGGTCTCTCAACCTCACGGGACTGATTCAGCTCTCGGATACCAACCCATTTGTTTGTTGTTTACTTAATAAAGTGTTGGTAAAAACTTTGAAACACTTGTTGTGAACACTTGTGAGCAGCATTGTTTACTTATAGAAATGTTTTGTTTACTTAATAAAGTGTTGGTAAAAACTTTGAAAAAATGGTTAAAACTTTGCATTTATTTGTTGGTTTACTTAATAAAGTGTTGGTAAAAACTTTGAAACACTTATTGTTAACAACAAATGTTTTGTTTACTTAATAAAGTGTTGATAAAAACGTTGAAAAAATAGTTAAAACTTTGCATTTTGTTTGGTTTACTTAATAAAGTGTTGGTAAAAACTTTGAAACACTTGTTGTGAACATATGCGCCGGAAGTGGGGGGCAGTTGCCCCCCAACCAAAAAAGTGGGGGGGGGGGGGCTGTTACACCCACACATGTAATAACGCCCACAAATGTAATAACACTTTACCCACAAATGTAATAACACCCACAAATGTAATAACACTTTACCCACAAATGTAATAATTTCACCCACAAATGTAATAACCACTTTACCCACAAATGTAATAATTGTAAATCACCCACAAATGTAATAATGACTTTACCCACAAATGTAATAAATTTGAAGGGATATTTTGTCGAATTTGTTCAAAACTAAAACCCTGTAATAAAGCATGGGTATAGCGCGCAGTCTTTACTCCAGACCCGGTTATTTAATTTTGTATAAAAATCTTTAAAACTAAGACCCCATAATCCTTTTCCTGTGGAATAACATGAGAATCAAGCGTAGTCTTTTCTCCAGATCCGGTTATTCAAAAGTAAAAAAACAAACAATTTTTTTTTAAACTAAGACCCCACCATCTTCCTAACTAAGACCCGGTAATAAAGCATGGGTTTAGAGCGTAGTTTTTCTTCCAGACCCGGTTATTTCAAAACTTTTTAAAAATCTTCAAAACTAAGACCCCATCATTTTATTCCTGTGGAAGAACATTTTACATTTGTGGGTAAAGTGTTATTACATTTGTGGGTGTTATTACATTTGTGGGTAAAGTGTTATTACTTTTGTAGGCGTTATTACATGTGTGGGTGTAACAGCCCCCCCCCCACTTTTTTGGTTGGGGGGCAACTGCCACCCCCCCCCCCCCTGCCCCCCACTTCCGGCGCCTATGTTCACAACAAGTGTTTCAAAGTTTTTACCAACACTTTATTAAGTAAACCAAAAAAAAATGCAAAGTTTTAACCATTTTTTCAAAGTTTTTACCAACACTTTATTAAGTAAACAAAACATTTTTATAAGTAAACGCCCCCCCCCCCTCCAAAAAAAAAAAGGGCAGTAAAGGGGTAAACATGGTTTGTATTTTTAACCCAAAATAACATTAAAAAAATTAAAACCTGAATTAAATCGACCTGAGCTTCCGGGGTCTCAGCCCCTTGACCCCCTGACTAGGCTCATGCCCTGGATCCTACGCCAAGTTACGCTCTACCTGATCGTTAATACTCCACTTTGAAAAACGTTCCGCGGGACCTGCATGTAACGTGTAAGACTGGTGGTGGTGCAGATTTTTCGTCTGCCCCCCCCCCTTCCGAACGTTCTTTCTCATTACTTCACTGCCCCTGGAAGGTGAGCCCCCTGGAATGTTTGCCCCCCCCCAATCCCAAACTCCTTCCGGCGCGCCTGGCTGTGAACACTTGTGAGCAGCATTGTTTACTTATACAAAAAATGATGGAGTGCACGAGGGTCTTCATTCCTCAGCTCCACCATCAACTGGTCATACAGTCCAAGCTCCATTCTTCTCACGATCCATCCTCGAACCCACACAGCGCTTGGACGTCTCCTTCTTCCCCTTCTGTCTAAAATTGATACAGTCTGAACATGTTGTGGTTCTGCTGTTGAATGAGTGCAGCTTTTTTGATCATTCATGGTGGAGAACAATTGATGATGTTGAAGACCAAGACCAAGAGTGATGAGGTCTGCACACCACGGCTGCTCGACTCATACTGAGATCCAGATGATTTTCTCCCCCTTTTCAAACAAAATATCGGTTGTCCGCTAGGTGTCCTTCTACATACTCTAAACATACTCAAGACATCCTAAATATACGAGATACATCCCAGATACAAACGCTTCGTCCGTTTTGAATGCTTTATATACGAGATGCATACGCTAACATCCTTTCTATTTCCGTGCTACTAACGATGTATAGACGTTCCATGTACCTTATCTTTCCTCCCTCTTTCCGTTTTCAGCTGCAGCGGATGTGAGTTGGGAGGATGCCCAGAGGATGCAGAGAGGATACAGCGGACGTTTAACGGATGATAACGGACATAGACTGTTTGTTGCTCGTATTTGTCGCGGATTTACATCGTACACGGCGGAAAGTTCATCCGTTCTAAAAGTTTTGTGCAGCTGGGGAAAATGTCAAAATGCTCTTTTAATAGATGACATAATGTCTTACCTGATAGTCTCCAGATGTTTGAGGTTGTGAGTTGATCTGAAAGCTACTAAGATTTGTTCCACCGTTCTGTTGCCAATGTAAACATCGCAGAGTGTCACCTTGACAAGCTGAGGGGAGATATTCAGGAGGGCGTTGGGTAGTGAAGTGGGCTCCTCGTAAAATGGCTGTGCATAACTCTTCTCAGGTGGTTGAATGGTAAGTTCTGTTGCTCCTGGTAGATGGATCCTCTGAATGACGTCAGAGTTGATCGGCCTAACTACCATTATAGTGACCCTCTTCACATTATCAAACATCGAACCACAATCCTGCCACCCTTTTAGTGTGTAGTCACCCACTGCCAGCTCAGTCAGGGTCGGGCTCGTGTTAACACTCTGGTCGTCCTGCACTACAGACTATTAGATTCAAGTTAATAGCAAGCAAGAGAATGAGGTAAAATTTACTGGTAGACGGACATTATAAGCCAGTTCACCGTTGCAGTCTGAGCATGAGCAGATAAAGGTCATTGCAGAACAAATTTTGAAATACACGAAGACGAAATACTGGATACGTGCTCATGAAAGTTATGTAACATTATTCATTTATGCTCATTCAGTGCACTCCATGGTACACAGGTGGAAGTATTCTTTGAAAAAGGGGGAACAAAAGCTATTTATAAAGCACCTCCATCGCTATAGGAGTGATTATTTCAAAATGTACAACGTAGGACCTCTTCATGTTTTGAAGATCTGTGGATATTCGGGGTCATTGCAATAAGGTGCTAACCGTGAACTGGTCTATTATATTCATATTTTAAGTTAATTACGCTCGTTTTAAATTATTCAGTATGAAAAAATTGTATAAATTAAATGAGGTGCACTCAGTATACTAAGGGGTAGTAACTGCACCCTCCCCTGGTTATAGTATTAACCCCCCATCCCCCTCCCCCCAATCCCCCCCCCCCAAAAAAAAAAAAATATATATATATATATATTTACACAAAAATAGATTAAAAAATTAAAAGTAATTAATTAATTAAACAATTAACAATAAGTAAATAGATACATAGATAAATTTAAAACAAATAAATATATGCATAAATCAATAAATTAATCAATCAATCAATACAAAATATAAACAAATAAACGAATAAACAAATAAACAAATAATATTGATCATAATAATAAATAAAACTAGACTTTAATTTGTCACTTTGACGAATTAGGTGATACGAAGCTATTTTTGTATCATGAATGTGTGCTGATGATGATCTAATGATAAAATGCATAAATACGATAATGACGATACTGATGATGAAGATATTTTGGTTTTAAATGACGATGACCATGATTAAAAGTGGTATAGCGCCCCCTTCAGGTATTTGATAGAGAATTGTTATATGATTAAACTATTAATTTACTAAACAAGCTAAAATTTTCGCCTGATTGCAGAGCCTACCAATCATTGAACTGATATTTCGACGCACTACATACGCAACATAATGAACAAGTCTAGACTGGAATGTAGTATCAATCACCTCCCATAGGCATAACACGCATATTTAGCAAAAATCTGACATATGTCGCCTTTAATCGCAATTTTCACCATAATGACGTCATCAAAATGAATCAATATTAGGAATGATCTTGTGGATTGTCTCAGCTACAACATATCAAAATTTAGAAGTAAATCGATCAATATTTACAGAGATACATACGATTTCCCATAAATATGCTGACGTCATAATGTGAGATTTCGTATTTCGGCTTCCAAGGCTATTATAATGACGTCACGATGTACTTAATGGCCAAATGAGACATGAAATCATATCTCCTACTCATACTCTATCCAAATATGAAAAAGGAATGGGGAGTCTCTAGGCATCCCAAAGAGCTATAATGGACTTTTTTTAGGCATATTTTTTTGCCAGTATATGCTATGTATTACAAAACTCGCGCATACGCCTTGAACAGACGCTCATTCCGTTATTTATAGTGATAAAGAGATAAACATGGTATCAATTTGTTCGAAAAAATATGAGAAATATCCTGTCCAAAAAGATTGACTGGTAATTATTTTGAGTTCGACTGTGACAGACGAAAACGCGCGAAAATGCGCGTTTGCGCGATTTTTTATAAAATGCATATAATGGCATGAAACATATGCAAAATAAATTTGAGATGATTTGGAGCAATTTAAAATTTTGCGCGCGCATTTACGCGCGGACATACGCGCATGCGCGTTTTTGTTTAACTGATATTGATTGGACGGATATTGACCTTGACCATAACAAATATGGATGAGGAAAGACTTTCTGTTATGAAGATATGATCATGAGTTGATTTTCACAAAATGGCGCCTAGATGACGTCACGGTGATCTTGAGTCTCTGAAAAGTCACGCAGTTCTAAGTTAGACTAATATCTATCATCATTACAAGTTTCATGATAATAGCTTTATTCATTCTTGAGATATCTTGCGAACAAATTCGAGGAAGAATAATAAAAATAAACTTTAATTCGTCAATTAGACGAATTAGGTGATACGTATGATAATGGTTTACAAAACGAATAATGCATTAAACGATATATTATTTTATAAAATGCTTCTCCCATTATGATCTATCCATATGTCAAGATTAAATTGTGTCTCCTTGATCATCATGGATCTAGGGAAGATAGATTGAGACCATAAATAACAATTGACCCTGTACAGTAACCAGTTACACCTTTGACTCTAATTTACATCATGAAGAACGCATTTTGACGCTTTTTATCTTATTCAATGAAATGAAAATGTAATTGATATATTGGAGCTTATGCTTGAGTATTAACAAGTGAATAGTGTATGACGTCACGATGTCCCGGCGTAAATAAAAAGTCAAAATAAATGTGGGAATACATGCATTAGCAATTATTGTTTAGTTGTCGACGTGACATTAGCTAGTTGCTTGATAATAAAATCTTTAAATATCGGATGGATATATACTGTCACTGTATAAGGAATGTGAATTAGACCAAAGTTGAATTAACAGGAAATATTGTAAGAAAGAGAAAAAATGAGAGGCAGGGAGTGTTGATTTTTTTATCAAGTAATGCATGGAACTGTAGATAGATGAAGATATTATTTGGAAAGGAAAGGAGCTTAGCAATCATCGAGGCCAGGATGGTAAAAAAAGAGACGAAAATGGAAGTTTGATTTTGACCCATCGTCTTTGACCCCAATTTCCTTCATGATTCCGTCATCAAGAAAGAAAATAAGTTGTATAAGGAACTTAGATCATAACCTCAGCTACTACATATTAGAATTTGGGAGAGATTCGAATAAAGATAAATGAAATATGGTTAAAAGTGCATTGTCGTTGATTACGAAATCAATTAAAATCGATTGAAATTAAATGATTTAAATTTAACGAGCAATATGATGATGTCGGGAAATTCGATTAGCCAAAAAGATGTAGGAAATAATATCTACAACTCATACTCTATCCACATTTAATAAAACAATTGGGGTATCCGATCATTTTGAGAAATTATGGCCAATTAAACATAGGCCTGTTTTTTTTTATTTCTGAGAAATGTGCGCACGAGCGTGCTGTTATCTTTGACGCGCGCATATTACATCAATTTGAGTCAAAAATGACTGAAATTGACAGGGATTGTTAATGAACTTATCGTTAATCCAAAACGAGCAAAAAAACTAAGAAATTAAATCTTCGTGCGATACAAACGCAAATACGCGCGCGCTGACCGGCACGCGCGGAAATTTTTGAAACGCTCAGAATTGGCTGAAACGTATGCAAAATTACTTAGTTTGGAGTTTTGAGCATTTCGTTTTTTAATTTCTTTTTGACGCACGTGTACGCGCACGTAAGAGGGGGCAGACAAATTTGCGTGGGCTAAATTTCTGACCCATGACCTGAGCATGATTGATACCAAATTTGAATTGAAATCGATATTGCATGGCTGAGATACGACCATTAATGACATTTTACATAATGACGTCATGATGACGTCACAATGCCCTGGTGTCACTGAAAAGTCACGCAGTTCTAAGTTGGACTAAGATCGATCTTCAGAGAAAGTTTCATGACAATGGCTTCAGCCATTCTTGAGATATCCTGCGAACAAAATTGAGGAAGAATAATAAAAATTTCTTCTATACAGACACAAAATAAATACTAGACTTTAATTCGTCACTTCGACGAATTAGGTGATACGTGTGATAATGGTTTACATAACGAATAATGCATTACACGATATATTATTTTATAAAATGCTTTTCCTATTATGATCTATCCATATGTCAAGTTTAAATTGCGTCCCCTTGATCAGGGATCTAGGGAAGATAGATTGAAACAATATATGACCTATGACCCTGTACAGTAACCAGTTACACCTTTGACTCTAATTTACATCATGAAGAACACATTTTGACGATTTTATCTTATTCAAAGAAATTAAAATGTAATTGATAAATGATTATCATCATTATGATAATGATGATCATGATGATAATGATCATGATCATGATCATGAGCGCAATCCTGACATCTTATTACAAAAATGAGGGTTGATTTAGATAGCATAAAGTCTCAGCGACAACATACTAAAAAATCAACAAAATCCATGCAGAAATAACGGCGATATTGCTCGTAAAAGACAGGAATGTAGAATCCAGATTTGAGAAAAAGTCATCTCCCGTAGGGATTACACGCAAAAAGTAATGGATGAAGTGAAAATAGGGTAATAATAAAGTAAAAGGGGTTATTTATGACATTATTTGCGAATCTACGTGTTGTAATAATCAAAGGAGATGGTACAGTAAAGGTCAAAAGGAAAAAAAAGTGAGAAAAAAAAGTGTTGGAGACACCCGGACTCGAACCAGGGATCTCGAGGTTGGAAGTCAAGTGCGTTACTGATATACCAAAACATCTCCAATAGCGATTACACGTAAACGGGAAATGGAATTCAGAAATCCTACTTTGCAAGTGAAATATGAGCAAGATCCCGGCATCTAATCGAAAAATAAAGTACACACTTTTGATAGCTCATTGTCTCAGCTACAACATATTCGAAGCTCAGCGAAAACAAAGCTAAAACAACGGAGATTTTGCTCGCGAAAGACAGGAGTGTAGAATCCAGTTTTGAGAAAAAGTCATGTCCCATAGAGAATACACGCAAAATGCGAAAAATTGACATGCCTCCTTTAATCGCAAAAATACACCATGATACTTTTGTCAAAAATAAAAATTGTGAATACTACATTTTTAGAAAATTGTCACAGCTAGAACATATCAAAATTAAAAAGAAAATTGATCCATATTTACAGAGATACAATCAATTTTCCAAAAATATGCTGACGTCATAATATGCAAATTGAAATTTTGAGTTTGGATGCCATTATGATGACGTCATGAGTTAATTGAGTACAAAATGAGACATGAAATCATATCTCCGACTTATAATCTATCTAAATATGAAAAAATATTGGGAGTTTCTATCTATTCTGAAGAGTTACAAAGAATTTTGTATAGGCATGTTTTTGCTCATGTATTGTGGATAAAGATAA